CCCCAAAACCCCAAAACCCCAAAACCCCTCATTCCTAACATTTTAAGATCAATATATTTTTTAATCAATAATGAAAATTGGAATTTTATAATTATAATTGTAACTATTCATCATTGTGCAGCTACTAATTTCTCTTCAATAAGTTCTAGCTTGATCTTATCTAAACTTTCAAAGCTAAACTTTCTAAATTGTTTCATTTCAATCTAAAATTATTTGGTGTCATAACCAACTAAATCATTCCAATGACAGAGCACCAATTTACTATCATAAACAATGTCAATAGCAATTTGTTTTTAATCTTTAGTATATACTATTTTCTTCATGTTAGTCTGCTAACTTAAGATTGGTCTTAATGATTCAAGCATCATCTAGGTGTTAAATGAATAATTTCTCTAAGTTTTTAGGAATTTAATGTCATTAAGACCTTAATTAGGCAAGTCTTATCTTAGAATTTAATCTTTTTAGACAATATCAGGAATGAAGGCAACCTGACTTGATGGTTTTAACTTTTCATAAAAAGTCTTACTGTAGTCTTGATCATTTATTAGTTTCTACACAAACAAATTTAAAATACATATTAGAATACCTCTTAAATATGCCCAATAAGCTTTTTTGTGTCTTAATTTTCAATTTTGCTAAATCTATAAATATCGATTTTATCCATAAATTTTTCTTTGGATATTTTAACATTTTCATCAAGTTTTAGAGTTTGATTTTCTTCAGGATCACCGATTGTAACTTGATTTTCAACAAGACCCAACCAGAATTATTTCAAAGAGTCATCAAGAAATTTGAGCACATGCTGCTTTTCTAGATCCGTAGACTGCTACAGATTTCCTCCAAGAATAGGATAAGTTTCTCTCAAAGTAGTTTCAACTTCTGGCATCCCTTTCTATATCATATAAGTTCAAATTAAATTTTACATAAAGACCCTCTATTGAAACATCAAATTAGAACTCTACAGGTTTTTCAATCAGCTTCTCCTATTTATATTTAAGATCTACATACTTCACATCCTTAAGCTTAAACTCAAAAACCTCATAATCCTCCAAATAATTCCAACTGAGTGTGCTAACTGTATATCTGCTTGCATCATTCTTGATTCTGAATATATTCTGGTCCTAGTCATAGACAAAGTAGAATTATGCTGTCAGCAGATTTACAGTGTTATTGTTGACGTTTATCCAATTAAACTTATTCTTGCCCTTGATCTCCTAGAGAAAGGCTGCTGTGCTTAGATCCACTTTTGGGTAATTTTTAAGATTTTAATGTGATTAATTGACACTATTTAAGACTCTAGTTTGCTGATTGCTTCCTCCTTCAAACAGCAATTAATTGCTTTCTATATCACTAATAGGAGCATTTAAACCCATAACATCCCCGTTTGTTGTGTTACCCTCTTGGATGATCTTGCCATTTTCATCTACCTTCTACGGTTATATTGTGCTTGGTTATTTACTTCCTCCACAACCCATTTATTTTAAACTTTATTAAAAATTAATTAAGGTAAATTTGATCGTCTTTATTTTTAGTATTTATCCCAATCATCTCCGACTACCAAAATACAAAAGCTCTCTCTCATTTTCAAGTCATTACCATATTTTCAGCGTCTTCCTCATCGGTGGAAGAGTTAAGCTATTCATCATAATTTTTGTTTTTATCCGTGATAGTCTCCTCTTCTTCATACTATTATTGATTGCTACTATTGTTATTAAAATTTTCCATCAACTTATCTTAATCTTTTACAAGATCATTATTAAATTCAAAAGGCTAAGGCTAAAAGTTAACCATTTGATCTGGATCTAACTAGCCCTGAGCATTAAATATCTATTGTAGAGGTGGCACATATGACTCACAATAAAAATGAAATAGATGGGGAGGAACGGGAGGATATTGATCAATTGGTGGGTAAAGAGGGTCATATTTAGATCTTAACTCAAAATCTCCATGAGCAAAGGAACAGCTTATTCCAAAAGGACAATATCCATCTATAAAAGGAATTATTTAAGTTAAATACTTGCCTCGGTAGAAATAGCAGCACTTTATGGTCTTGTAATTTGAGTAGGGCACTCTATCTGTTTTCTCAGTTATTGCTTCTTTTGGTAAAGGATCATCAATTTTCCTTAATTCATGAGAGCCGTGAGCGAAAGAACATTTGTTGCCAAAATTGCAAGATCCTGTAGCCTCGTAAAGCTTGCAAAGAGATATCTTGAATTTGTTGTTCATCTGAATACTTAAATTAAATTAATTACAATAAATTTCAATAAATTTTCATTACTAATGAATCTCGGGGTTTTGGGGTTTTGGGGTTTTGGGG